AAAGGAAATTAGAAAATTAATCTAGTAAAGCTATAAGAATTCAAGTATTATATTAATATAATTTAAATTAAAATTATATAATATAAAATATATATTAGTTTCTCTTTAGTTCCCTAGTATATTTTTAGTAGTAATTCCAAGAATATAGTTTCTATATAAATGAATTCTTTTTTTTTCTAGTAAAGTTAAAGGAATTACTTTTAATATTAATAGAATACTTATATTTAAAACTAGTCTTCTTTTTATATAATTAGCTTTTATACCCGAATTAACTAATACTCTAACCCTATATTTACCTTTTCTTATCTTAATAGTAATTTCAATTACTATTCTTATTTTAGAAGCTTTATTTTCTATAGTATAAATAAGTATAACTATTATAGAATATATCTATTTCCTGGCTTCTTTAGTTCTAGATATTTATATATCTTATAATTAGACTTATTATAATTATAATAAGTTAGTTTTTCCTAATTTAGGCAGGTAGTAATATAATAATTCTTTTTCTAGTAAATAAAGCAAGTTATATCCGGTTTTATAAATCCTAATATAAGTATTATATTAGATTCTATTATTATATTTTTACTATTCCGGTTATATAAATCTTATAATAGAAATATACTTCTTTTCTATTTCCCTTTATTATTTCTTTTATTTTTTCTCTAGTTTTCTTTCTTTTATTATTCTATTAGCTTATTAATATATTTCTATTAAGTAAATAAGTTTAAATTATTCTTAATTCTTATAGCTATAAAAATAAGCTTCTTTCTTTCTTATAGAATATTTCCTTAGTAATTAATCTTATTCTAAATCTTCTATCTCAAGCTACTAAATAAGTTATTTTACTCTTATAGTAAATCTATATATCCCAAGTTATCTAATAGGCTATTTAAATAGAATATAAAGCTTTAGATATTCTAACCGGGCTACTATTTTATATTCTTAAACTTAATAAGAGTATTATTATTATAGTTCTCTAGATTTAAGATAGAATTCTTTATAAACTTAATAAAAACTTCTAATCTATAATATTAATACCTACTAATTACTTCCTATACTTTTAAATATCTCTAGCTATATTCTTAAAATAAGAAGTATAATATATAACCTTTACTATATCTATAGCCTAGATAATTCTATTATCTTTATACTACTTTAGCTCTATCTAGTAAAAGAAGTTCTAGGCTTCCTTAATACTCTTTTTCTTATAAGTTAGTAATTTTCGAGTTTTTAGAGCCCTATAAACTAAATATACTACTAGTAATATAATAAATTTTATAATAGATACCTAAATATCCTTAAAATAGTAAATTTGAGTTTCTAGCTTCTCTAGATCTTTCCTCTATTATATCTCTATTTCTAACTTAGTAATATAATAATAAGCTACTACTAGCTTCTTTATTATTATTATTCTACTAGCTAGTTCTAGAAATATCTGAGTTCTACTCTCTTTTTCTAATTAGGTAATAGCTAGAGTAACTAACTAGGCACTTTCCTAAATACTTAACTAGGTTATTCTAGTAATAATAAAGGTACTTCTTCTAGTTAATACTTTAGCTATTAGTAATTTTATTTATTAATAGCTTAATTACCTTATAATAAACTACTTCCCAAAAATTGAATTAATTAGAATATAAGATATATAATAGTAGGGTAATATATAAGTAATTAAGGTAAGTAAGTTATAGAGTAATACTTATAAGTATAACTAATTTCAAGAATTAATTTTAATAAAAAACTAATTAATACCCCTTTCTAAAACTAGGAATATCTCCCTATATATTCCCTAGTATTTAGCCAGATATATAAAGTTTTTTACTTAATTAGGAAATCCTATATAATTCATATAATTCCGATTATAAGCTATACCCAAAATAGGAAACTAGATCTATAATATCTAATATCTATTTATATACTATTATATATATCTATTATAATTATATATATATAAAGTATTATATATAAAGTATTATATATAAAATATTATATATAAAGTATTATATATAAAGTATTATATATAAAGTATATATAAGGAAAAAGAGAAAGAGTAAGTATATATATATATATAAGGAAGTTAAAGGAAGAATTAGAAGCTAAGGGCCTATTTTATAAATATTTAGGGCCAAAAATAACTCAAATAGAAGCCTAAATAATTCAGATTAAGCTATAAATCAAGCTATAAATTATATAGTTATTTGGTATAATTTAGATAATACGGGCAAAATAATTAACTAGGGCCTTAGAAATAGGGCTATAAAATTATAAATTATATAGTTATTTAATATAATTCAGACTATAGGACTAAAATAATTAGCTAGGGCCTTAGAAATAGTTATATAAAGCTATAAATCATATAATTATTTAATATAGTTCAGATAATAGGGTCAAAATAATTATATATAGCCTTAGAAAAATAGCGAAAATAGCGAAAATCAGGCATTAAGCCTTTTAGTTACTATGGTTAACCAGATCCATGAGCTGAGACATTACAGCCACATGGCGTATAGAAGGGTTCACCCACTAATCGCCCAAACCTACTTCCCGCCCAAGCCAAAATTCAACTTTAATATTAATTTATTAATTATTAATATAATTTTATACTTTGTTAAGTTCTGGTTAATAAATATACTCTTTAATTACGTTTTTATTTTTTCATATAAAAATTATTATTAATATTACTCATAAAACAAATTTTTTATTTATATTTTAAGAATTTAAGGCAATATAAAAGATTAATTAAAATAAGTCCTCTTATAAAAATTCCTATAATTAAGAGAGACAGTATTAGTAAATAGCAGAAATCAATTTTGGTCAATTTTGGTCAATTATTAGTAATAAACCGTGAGAGAAAAATCGATTTTTTGCCCGGGCGGGAAGTGGGTTTGGGCGGTTGGTGGGTGAACCCTCCTACCCGAACACCAACAACCAATGGCACTCCAAGGAGCTGCAATCCATTTGAATTGTAGCCATTCGATGTCTGGGGACCTATCGAGCTGGGTGAGCCAGCGCCGCCTGGGTAAGAGCGCTTCCTAATCGAATGAAGCACAAGAGAGAGAAAGTTGATTCATAATACCTGATAAGTCAGACGCGATTTTTGCTTCGCTGGTTCCATTTTAATCTTTGGACGTGGACAGCGCCGCTTTATTCTGAGGGTGGATATTCCTAAGCACACCTGAGCCCGGCCTGAGCAGTGAGCCCGACTTGGACAACCTGAGCAAGCATTAAAAGGCAATTTAGCACCCAAAGGAGCTCGTTCTGACTCCCTTGGTACTCGGTTATACTTTCTTCGTCGTGTCTCCAAGCACGGATCCATTTTGGCACCCTTGCGACCGAGAGTCATACTTCAACCGAAACGGATACATCGACGACGACCATTTTCAACCGTAACAATACACATGCCCGACCGGCTTAGTCGACCCCTCTTTCGAATCCCCCGACCTCACAGCCTGGACCCTCCTCTCCGCCGCCCAATTCACTGTCACCTCCCTGCAACCGGGCTCAATCCCCCCCCGGGTCGCCCCGTATTCGCAGGCTGCCAAATCCACCTCTACGACCTGGCCAATAACGACAGTTCACAAGGCGTTCCCGGCATCTTCTGGCTGCAATAAACCCTTCCAATTCCATCTTGCTGCTTCGAGCCCGTCTACAAAGCAACAATATGCGTCAATGCACCCGCCGTTGATGGCGTAGTAAGCTGCTACACGGATGAGGATGGGTATAAGAATCATTTCGAGCATTTTGCGACGAGTGCGAAGGGTGAGTGGATGAGTGACAGACGCTTGTTTCGGCGTTTTTTAATATTTTTACGATGAATGACCCATTTGGGGTGAGGTGGTTGTTCCAGTGCTTTGTTTTAGGGAGGTGTGGGTCGAGAGTGTGAATTTGCCTTCCGCTTGTTCGGGATCGTGAATTTGTAATGTGCGTGGATTTAGGGGCGGTCGGAGGAAGATAGATTGAGACTCGCTAGAGAGCAGAAAAGAGGAGAGCGGTGGTGTTTTTGCTCTATATATCTCCCAAGTTTGGTGTTCTGATCTAATTGTTTCAGTCCAGTTCGCTTTGCTTGCTCTGAACCGTCTCGAGAGGGAACTGCATTTTCCGGACATGTGGCGTTTGTAGGACCGCGAATCGATTTGATCTGCTCTCCTCGCTCCTACCAAGTCGTGAGGTCCGCCTTCAAGTATAGTTATATATTTCGAATAGTCAAATATTTGTGCGCAGGCGATCACAAATACTCGCCCCTTTAGCGATCAAGGACGGTCAAGGGCTGTATTGGGAGATACTGTGGGGGCGACGCAGGAATCTTTTCTGAGCTTCGGAATAGTGGTTTGCTGGCTTTGAGGGTTCAACACCTCCTACCATGCGAGATCCATGGGGTCCATCAAGCTAGAAACCCCTCGTCCCGCCAAACTCGCGTGACACTCGGTGGGGACACATAGTTCCTCCTCTCTATGAGTTTGTAAAGGGTGTTTTCATACGTTTCGGGTCCACTTTCTCCGGTTCCAACTTCCTCCCGAATATTTAAAGCCCTCTATAGGCTCAGAAAGGGGAAGTGGTTGTAGTGAGCGCATAAACTCTCCTGTCCCAGTTAGCTCTTGATCCTGTCTATCATCCATCCTGAAAATAAGACGGCCATGTAATGTGGCACCACGCCCTCCTGTGCCAGCTGGGTCTTCACTCCTCATAACCTCCATGGCATTCACGAGCTCCACGAGCGGTTGCCGGTTGCAAAGGTGATTTGTCTGTTGGCTCTTCAGCCTCCATAGACTTAGAGGCAACATCCATGAAAACATCTTCGGTACAGTTGCTTCAACCGGAGCTATGGAACCATGAGCACGCCCCATAAGTTGAGTCTAGAGATCCTTGGTCTGTGTTGGACTTTGTTAGTGACTAGTTCCTTCTCGTGCTCACGATTGATATAAGGCAGTTCTCTCTCATGCTTGCGAATTTGTGTGTGTGGAGGTCTTCGAGCTCCTTCTTGGAATGGGTCTTGTTGTCGTCTGAGTGCTTCCAGTACTTGCCTTCCATCGCAGACAGTTGGTCCAGAGACGTGCGTTTATCCGCCGCGAACTTGTTAGCTGCAGCCTTCTCGGCAGCTTGCCTTGTAAGACGTTTGACTTCCTCCTTCTCGCGCTCGGCTTCCGCGTCCCCCATTTCACGGATTAGACGCTCCAACTCTTCCTCCTCTCCCTGCAGAGCCCTCGCAACGGCGCTGCTTCTTCCTTTGCCTTTTGCTCTTCTTTCAACTTGGATTTAACAGTTTTTGCATCTTTTTCGCCTCTGCTTAATCTGCGACTGCTGTCAGCTTCCGCGGCTTTCTTGAGCCGCTCCTGGAGCGCGACATGATGCTGCTCTCGTGTCTTGCCGCTGACACAAGCAGTACTAGTCCGGGCATGTTGAGGAGTCGAAATTGTTGGTGGAGGCGTAGGAGTAGATGTAATGATAGGCGGCCAGTGAGCTCGAGCGCTCGGTGTAGTAAAGGCAGGGAATGGTGTTGAGTTAGCTTTTGGCTGGGGAGTATAAGTACGAGAGATAGAAGGTGTCATAGAAGAAGTTTGAGGTTGTCCTATGCTTGAAGCCGATCTCTGTTCTGATATCAGCGAGGAGTTTCGTGATATTGGTTGTGCATGTAGAGCATATTGTCCAGGGATGCACGCGATTGATTGGTAGCCAGGTTGAGGGTATAGGTACACATATGGGGGGCCCTGCACGGGCATGGCCCGGGGGACAGACCCTTGAGGGTAAAAGCTTGCCTGCCTAGATTCTAGAGATCGGTTGAACCTACCGCTGGATGGTGAAAGATCCATTTTAATATGCTCAGTCCAACTCATCTAGGTGGGGCTTGCACTGCTGATCAGTTTCTCAGAGCCTTTTGGTCATAGAATCCATTTCTGATCTGTGTTCCTCAACTAGTATCGCTTTCTCACATTCGTGGGACCAGCGAATCTCATCCATTCGTTCAGTCCAATCTTTGCGGATGATGCTCATTTCGGTATCGTATTGCGCCCGCAAGATCTCGCATTCGTGTTCTGTGAATTACATCAGCGCGATTCGTGTATGCAGAAACGGATAACGAACCCAGCTTGGTGCTTCTGTCCACAACGTCCTGATACCGCCGTGACGGACAACACTTTCCGAAATATATAAGATCACCCAGCAAATACAAACTCGAACATATATCCCCAATAGCAGGACGATCTTTTGCGATAGGAGAAACCATCCTTTCGATAATGTCGACGATATCGAAGATTCCACTATCAACATTGTCGATACGGATCTGTCGGAGTTTAGACATCCACTCCTGTATTTTCTGGGGATTGTTCTGGTATGAACGATCGTTGTACCTCGTCCTGAAATTTTCGAACGCACCCAAAGAAAGTCGGCGATGGACCGTGTTGATTTCTAGGAACACGCAGCCAAGGGAGTATATGTCTGCCGCTCGACCTCGTGGTTCCAACATCGCAACCTCGGGTGCACAATACTTGTAAGTCCCTCTCACGTTACCATCAGTGGCGCTGCTAGAGGCATCCGTAATATCCCGACTTAGCCCAAAATCCGTAACATGGAGACCGTCGTTCCTGTCCAGAAGAATATTCTGTGGCTTGATGTCCTTGTGCCGGATATCACTGTTGTGAAGATATTGGATAGCATTGGCAAGACATCCATACACCCTGGCCAAGCGCTCCCTCATTTTGTGTCTGTCGTCCCGAAACCCAAGGCGTTCCATCAATTTCTTGAAGTCTTCTGAACAGTCGGCCCAGGCAAGGTTTTGGTTCTCATCCAGCTCATCCAACAAAACGCCTAGATCGCAAACCGCAACAGGGTGCAAGAGCAATCCTAAGATATTATTCTGATTGTTCTGTGTGTAGGAGCCCAACAACGTCACCACATGCTTGTGACTCAGCTTCTTCAGAATATCGAGCTCCCGCTTCACGTCCGCGATCTTCATGCGTCGAGTGCAATAGATTTGCTTCCTGGCCATGGATAAGCCCCGGCATTTCACCTCGTAAACATCTGCGAATGATCCTCGGCCCAAGAGTGTCCCTTGTTCTAAGGGAATAGCTTCATCCCGCGCGAATTCGACATGTTGCCCCTTCCCAGACCAATTCCCCGGTATGTCTAGTTCCGCGAGTAGTTTAGGTCCCGGGGGAGAAGGGTCGCGCTCGCAATCGAGTTCGTAGGAGGTTGCGGCGAGTTGAGGTTTGATGTCGAGCAGCCTGATGCAGCCTTAGTTAATATGCTCAAGGTAGGGAGGGGTGGGTCATACGGATATTGTACTGGCTCACTGCTGGGGATACAATCTCCAGAGCTATAACTCCCGCACATGTAAGCCATCAGATTGGCATACCAATCTCTCAAGCAGACCGCAGAAGAACATTATCGAAGGCCATTGGAAGTCGAGCGCGGTCTGGTCCCGCCATTAGATAGCCCCAGCCGCACTGCAGGCCACCACAGTCCGCGTAGCAAAATACGGCATGATTGGGCAACTGTCTTTCACCTCTCGCCGCAAAGGCTTGTTCGCAACCATGATCGTACTCGTCCATGGTGACAGTTTCTTGATGGGTGCTTCCCTTTGCGTTTGATCCCATGGAGAAAGCCCAGATTAGTCAGCTGCCCTGTTATCTCAAGTCTGACTTCACTTCATCCAACTACTCTGTCGTCGAGCAGAATTATTATCCGCTAAACTATTTAATATGGGCTAGTCTATGGAAACAACTCAAGCAGAGACTGGGGAGTAGGCGTTGCTAGATGCGCCGTGTTTTTATGAAATCGGCCGCCGCCAATCACGCCCAACCATGTCATGTAATTAAAGGGTCCAGTGGATTCAACATTGAAGGAGCTGGCTGGATAAACAGTGCATTTTAGCTCCACTCAAATAATCATAGAAGGGCAAGTGACGAACCTAGATCTTGAGTAACCCCATCTGTTCCATTCACACACCACATCCGCAAGATTGTGGAGGGAAAGGTCGACGTCCAATCCAATAACACTGTGTCGTTCACATTGGGCTGTAGATTTGCGCCCTGCGATGGAAACTTCCAAATCGCTGTTTGTGCCTGCACTGCGGTATATTGAATACGGCAGAGAAGGACCCAGGAGACTACCAGATGGCGCATTATTTCGAGAGTGAAGCAAAACAGAAATAATCCACAATAAGTTACGGGAACGACCACTACCTAAAAGATATATCAAAGCCTTGGGGTTCAGGGGCACTGCAATTTTCGATATTCCCTATCCTGCTAACTGAGCGGGACGCAGCGAAAGGAAAAGCCTGCTGCCGCTGCCCTTGTCCAAATAGATCCAAAAAAAAAAGACTATGGTAGCCGGCCAGGACGACATTAGCGAAACCGAGCTCGTGTTATTACGAAGTACATGCGCATTTCTGGATGGGCGTCGTCTTCCTTGAAATGCCTGGGGAGGAAGATGTTGGGATTTGGTGTTGGTGTTTTAAATATATTTACTAACAATTAGACCTCGTGGATTTACCACTAGCCCCTGAGCGCAGGCAGGCACAGCGCATAGTCTTTCAAAAAGCTCGTGCCGTTGACTTTCTGGTCTGTGCCAGCCCTAGACCCCCCTATCTCGCTCCATTTAAATGGGTAGATTCCAGTGAGCGGTAAATCGTAAGGCCAGAACACTATTGGCTCGTTAATAAGGGCCATTCGGGCGCCGCTATTGTCATCCGAACCGCATGTCATTACGCAGCTTCTTTTTCATCAATGCCAGTGAACATGCACCTTCCCTCTCGCGATATCTCCTATTAATCCCGAGGATAAGGTACATCTGAAGACGATGCTAACCGGATCATGGCCGCCTAGAAAGAGACTCTCAGTCGCCGCTGTCGCAATCACAATCATCATTGTCTTCACAACCATTTCAAATCTGCATTATCGATCGTCCAATTCAGTGATGAAGCTACGACTCCCTCCTTACAACAAAGGCAATGATCCAACAAAGGCGGAGACCGGTAGGCAGTTCCCCTCCCCCTCCCCCTGCCCCAGCTCATGCCCAGGACACCTATGGAACCCCGTAGCTGACCTGCAACCGCGTCTGAAGTGGGAAATACGACACTCCTCGAACTGCTGGCGCCCAGCTACATCAAAGCAATATTAGACCCCAAGGACAAAGAATTCGACCGACTCCAGTGCCCAGCACCTACTCCTAAGCGCTACGATTATCTTCAAGTTGATCGTAGCGATGCGAAAAATGTAGGCGGGCAGATAAAATACTTCTTTGCGCTCAATCTGCGACAATGTATTAGTATACTTCCTCGATTAATGGGATCCATTGTGGAAACTGTGCGATTTCTTGGTCCCGAAAATTGCGGTTTGTCAATTGTGGAGGGGAATTCCGATGATGGGACTCTGGAAATACTAGCAGCGTTGCGCAAAGACATGGGAAGCTTGGGACTTGAATTTCACTTCCAGACTAGCGACATAGATCCTAAGAATGGAGACCGAATCGAAGCTCTTGCAGCCCTTCGAAACCTAGCCCTCGAACCACTAATCAACAATCCGAGTCACTATTCCCCAGATACAGCGGTGATTTTCCTCAACGACGTCGCTATATGTATGGATGATATACTGGAGCTAGTTCACCAACGCGTTTATCAGGAGGCGGATATGATATGTGCACTAGACTGGTCAGATATAGATCCACCCATCTTCTACGATATCTGGGTCGCAAGAGCTATAAATGGAGACACATTTTGGGAGATTCCAATGGACGGAGGCTGGCGATTTGCCTCGAACCTCTTTTGGAACCATCCACCATCCCGTCAGCGATACGATGAGCACAAAGCCTTCCAAGTCTTCGCATGCTGGAACGGCGCCGTAGTCTTCTCCGCGAAGCCTATAATACAGAACAAAATCCGATTTAGGAGGTCGAAGCCTGATGAGTGTTTTGCTGGTGAACCGCGGTTGTTCTGTAAGGACTTGTGGATAGAGGGGTATTCGAAGATTGCGGTAGTGCCGTCAGTTAATTTAGGGTATTCGGATAAGTCTACTACGAAGGTTAAGGAGTTGCATGGGCGTGTTTCTGAGGCTGTAAAAGGGGAGGATATTTATGATGGGTCGTTGAGGATTGTGTGGAATACCAAGCCACCTGAACAGATCAAGTGTATGGCAAGTTTTGAGGATCATTCTTGGGTACCCTGGAATCAGGGTTTCGAAACCAAGAGTTTAATGTAATATCGTTCTGCTCTGTCGCACACTCTGTGAAGTCCTCGTGTCCACGGAGGTGAACTTACCTTGTACGCGGAATGACATATAATATTGCCCTCGTACCATTTCGCGCAGTTCGTCGCATGGGTGCTTCTTAATTGGTAGACTGAGGCCTGGATTCATTAGCTGGGCGTGACTTGTGAGAGGGAAGAGATGAAGAGTTTATAGACCGTTAGAATAGACTTTAGCGACTCCTACCCTACTAGCTTCCGGGGAGAAAGAGAAGCCAGCCGCTGGCGCACGTGACTATTCACGTGGTCCTCCTCCTCACAAGGAGTCCAGGCAAGAGCTCAAGGCAAGAGCTCAAGGCTAGGAGCCCATGCGGGCTCCTAATCTAGCCTTATTCTAGTGGTAAGCTCGCGTCTTCATTTATTAAAAGTCTGTAGAGCCTTCTTAGAAAGCCTCACAACTCGTTGCAAGCTCTTGGTAAAGAATTTCTGTTCATGTACTACTATCAAAAACTTGTAATAGCCAATATGTTTGCAACTATTATCGCCATGCTTAGAAATGTAATTATACATTACCTTGTAACCCTAATTCTTACGTTAATTCAGTAACGACTTGCATAGTTGTTGAGATTTATCGAAGCCTTTCAAGCCAGATACACGACGTGCTACTGCCTAAGGCACGTTGTCTGAATTCGCAAGCAGTCCGCAGCTTATTATGCTTGAGAGAACAGCACAAAATAAGGTCACAGTAATGTTAAAAGTAGGCTTGAGTTTTCTATTAGAACCGAAGAGAAATCAGCTTGCAAGACTGCATCTCAGAGTGATTTCGTCTAAAGTCTTGTACCTAAATGTAAGATTACTACATAATAACGTGCACCATTTATTTATACTTTAAGCCCGAGCACCCTCATTTGTAGTACTACAACTAAAAGTGCTCGAGCCTGAAGTATAAATGTTCCGTATCCCTTTACTGCGATAGCGCGCACCCCTTGCAACGGGATATTTGAGGAACTTCAAAGCCGCACATCGTACCATGCAATTATATGGCAATTATATGAAATAAAATCCCTATATGGAGTTTAAGTTCGACCTATGTCTTTATAGATTTAAGAACTTTTAATTCTTTTTTTATTTCATAAAAAGATTACTACTTGAATCGCGAAGTGAAGGTCGTGAGTTTGCTCGCTTCATTATTTTTGGTGGGGAGATGTGCGTGCCGCAGTACAAGGGGTAATAAAAATTTGGAGCACACTAAATTTAAATACTAGAACCCGAACTGCTTTGGCTTTTAATACGACAATATAACGCACTTTTACAGTGCTTACTTATAAATAACCAATAAACCTCTTATCTTGTGCATAGAGTAAGTGTCCTGTTATTGGTGGTTAGGTGGGACACTATTTCTGTCACTGGGGAGGTCCTGGATGCGCAGAGCATGCTAGGTGACTAGCCCTACACTTGAATCTCTCCTAGGCCATTTGTCCCAGAGCACAGATTTGAGAGATGATGTGAGATAATGCCATATTGCGAAAAGAATCTGCCTTGAGAGATTTAAGAATGGTTTTTCAGGGGAGAGGGGGTTCCTGTTTGGGCTCCATAGGAGCCGACTTGGTCCTTTGAATATAATCGTGTAGAGGTAACAACTTTCGCCCAGCAGTGCAGAATAGGAGGCGAAATCATGGTTGGTTGATGGAAGGGAGAGCAGGAACGTGACCAAGCAACCTGAGCAGAGGGTGAGGCGAGGGTGAGTAGCGCCTGAGCAGAGCGGCAATGGTGACTAACCACGTTAGAAGAAGGGAGGTTTGGATTCGATGAGATTACCTTCCAAGTCGTGACTCTCCTCATCTTTGCACACTCGCCCTTGAACTCTACATCCGCTACAAGAGAGACATCTCTGTCTCCTTTTGAACCACCAACTCCACCCGAAATCGAATCCCAATCTCCCAGCCAACACTTCGGCATTCCGACCCGAAATTCAAAAAGGCGGTTCTTGCTACCGTGATAGCTTATCTTGCTGTCCTTATAAAGTGTATCTATCGCATAGCGGAGATGTCTGGAAGGTTGAGGAACCCGATTATGCAGAACCAGGCCGCGTTTATGGTGTTTGAGGGCGTGATGTGCGCGACTGCCTGCGTGGTACTGAATGTTTTCCATCCTGGTGAGATATTTCGGAAGTCGAGGGGAGATAAAAGGGAATGGAAGTAGAGCTCGACTGATACAACCGTGGACACGGAGATGGTGACGCTGGTTTAGACGGGGAATGAGAAGGGAAAGAGGGAAAAGTTAACGGGGATAAAAGTGTTCGACCTGAGGAGGTGGCCATTGTAGGAACATATTGGTGGCCAAGGGTGTGTCTTCAGGATGACGAGACAGCAGCTTTTCGATTATGGAGACCTTTGAGAAGTCATGGTAGCGCACTTTATTCGTCACGTAAACATGGAATTTCTTGGCATGGTGACGTAATTTTCATTCTGTGAGACCCAATGCCGGTTAGATCTAAGCTCGAATGCTTTTCCTTCAACAAAGACTTCCGAAGAGCGCAGCTCCTTGCTCAAGTTAGGCTCCTAGAAGAGTGCCGCTCCTGCTTCCCATGCACTTCACATTGTCATTGCCACCTCAGCCTCAGCCTCCGCCTCCGCGTCAACCTTAGCCTTGCTATCAAGCTGAAAGGGGACACAATCAAACCGGCAAACGCAGTCGTGCGAATCATTTGCTGGGTTTACATGACAGCTGCAATCCGAAGGACCGTAGATCTTTCCTCCGTACTCGAATTTCGGACTAGCGTATCCCAAGCCGGGGTAGAAAGCCGGTACGAACAGGATAGGGTGCTTGATGCTCAGTCCCCAGGCCAGAATGGAAGTTGGGTTGTTACTGGTGAGGACTTGCTCGCCCCATTCGTTGCAGGAAGGTGAGTAGATGGCGACTCTGCCTTGGTTGGGGGTGTCGCCGAACTTGGGTTGGAAGGTGAGACTGGGAATGTCAGTATGATAGTTCAATACGGAGGAGGGGTATACCTTGGGTTGAAGGGAGGTGGGTAAAGGGGACAAGACTTACACGCAAGTGTACTGATTGACAGACGGGGTACATAGGTTCGTATCATCGGCGGCAGCCGTGACGGTGGAAACGAAACCGACGATAGCCATGATGACCAAGAGGATGATAGACTTGAGTTGCATTTCGAGGGTTGTAGGCTCGACGAGTGGTGCTGTCTAAGTTAGTGCTGCTTTCCACTGTGCTGGCGTTCTCAATCTCGTTTGAGATGCTTTGGTGGTGGTTTGTACTTTGCCGGAAAAGAAGAGGAGGCGACATATTCGAGGATTTTAAGATCATTCGATTAGTGACCATGAGGCCCACCATTTTCTGGCTAGTTCGGCAAAGAGAAAGGCGCAATGCCTGTCACACAAGGAAAGTCATAACGGAGTCACCTTCAGAGAAAGTGATACATGAAATGCTAGACCGGTGAATAAGGTACCTCGATATTTTTAGCCTAAACTACATATCGGAATTCAGAAATTTCAGTAGGAGATGTGCGTTAATGCAACAATGGCGGAGGGGTGAGCTGCTCGAATCAGAGGATGACGGTTTCACGTGACTTACTCCCCTATTACCACCACCCGGTACTGCGTAAAAGAATGTACTTCTGTGCGTATTGGCTTCAACTTGGATTCGGCTTAGTTCTTTAATCGATCTTTCCAGCAAGAATTTCGCGATTTAATCGACAAGACGACAGAACAACTGACTAAGCACGTGATCCGGCGCGAGACATTGACAGCCGAAATAAGACATCTACTCCAGGGCAGGCTCTGGAGGTGCAATAACGTATATCAGATGATCTTCTTTTCTATGTAAAAAGAGGTCGTTGCTTCAAGCAGCATGATGATACTATTACCCCTGATTTCAGGGGGTGGGTAAAGTCGCTTACTCGTCGCTGTGTCGAACATTCAATCTGCTGATTGGGACCTTATGTTGTTCCTCTCTCTTTACACCCGCCGGCTGATTCCTCAAAGCAAGCGTGCACGAACAAGGGTCCACGTCTTCTTTTTAATTAACACAGCGAGAAGCGCTGAGGCGTTAATTCAGAGTGAATGAATATTTTTCACCCGAAGCGTCTCGGGACAGGATGAATCGAAGGTCTATTATGCAGAAAGAGAATAATTAACACAACGAGCCTGCCGACAGAAGTCCGTGTTTTTAGTGTATTTCATACAAAAATAAAAGTTGAAAAGTTGAAAACGTTTAAAAGCCTCTTTATAGACACTCCCTTTACTTTTCACGGCCTCCGCCTACCAAATCGCAAGCTCTAATTATTCGTTGTCGTCTTGAAACTGCGAAGTGATTCCGATAATTGGAGACGTTCTAGCCCGGAAGGCGAGGTCGTGAGGCCTGAAAATCGCTTTAAAATGGCTGTCACAGGGACTGTTGTCAGCAGGCTCGGGACAGGAAGGCGGTGAAGATCGACCCCGCACCACAGGCTCTTGCCCCCCGTCTGGGATATTCCTTCAGTGGGGAAGGTTGGCCTGTGTTCTGTTCTTCATCCCTGGCCGGAATATGCACAGCCAGCCCGGCAATCGAGATGCCCTTATTCCTGTCGTCTTTCTAATTCATCATGGAAATCTAAAGACCACTCAATACCAACCTGCTTAATCCTGAGTCAGGAGGTTCAATGCTGACCCTGGTTTTTCTGGCCTGTAGCCCAGGGTGTGTCCCGTACAGTAGCACCAGGGGTGCTTGCAGCACCCTGTAGACCCGAGAGGAGGCTAACGAGCCTGCTGACAAAAGTCTGTGGTTTTAGCGATTTTTTCAGGCCTCGCCAAACCAAAGTCATCAACTTCACTCCACGATAATTAGATAACTATTAATAATACTATCTTAAGACTCGAAAGTATTCAATAAAAGAAGGTATATTTAGTTTTAAGAACTTAGTCTACAAAATTGCGATGTAAATTATAATTATTGAAATTCTTTTCAGGGCTGTTTTGTTAGCGAAATACGCTAAAACCACAGACTTTTGTCAGCAGGCTCGTAACTCGTAAGCAGCAAAGAGACTTCCTCCGCTGACAATGTCCTCTTGCCCATCTCCCCCTCTACAAACACTCGAATGGCGGTCGAGCCTGACTACTCTCCTGATCCAAGTTGGACGTATTTCTCGGCCCAGAATGATATCCTCATTACTACATCCCAGCATTGCCCGGAGCGGCCATATGTGTCCTTGCAGCTGGGCAGTCCAGCCATCAATATCTCCGGCCAAGAATTGTGTGTCCGCCGTATCATTTTCACAACCGTCTCCCACGATCAAGGATTCAGCGGCTCTCCCCAAGACCACGGCACGTATAATCAGTCGAACACGTGGTTCGACGCACGCATCATAACCCCGTCTGGTCATGACCGTGTGCCTCGCCGATACATTCAGGCCAATGTTCATGCAAGCCTCGACTTCAAAACCCACGTCAACCGTTGGGATTCAGAAGACGACGATGTTGGGTTACGGGATTGGCTCGCCACTATCCAGACTGGAGACACTGTCCAGATCATCCCTATGGCCCATTATATTGCTTGGACCAACTTTGTGCGAGGTGCAAAAATTCAGCTGTGGGCAGTTCCTTCCGTGAACATGCCGGGCCCGGCGATCTCGCTGGTTGAAAAGAATGATTACAGTGCGCACCGTCAGTTGCGAGATGACTTGAGGGAGATTCGACTCGTCGAGATCCTGCCGGGTGGTTTCGAAGGGCCGATCCGCATGGTGCTTCGGTATACGACTTTGGATGATGATCGGCTTAGATATGAAGCCCTCTCCTATCGCTGGGGCGATATGAAGAATCCGCAACCAGTACTGTTGATTGACTCAGACAACTCGCAACCAAGAGAGATGTTTATAAACACAAACCTCTTCGCCGCTTTGCGTCAATTCAGACGGCCGGCTGCGTCCAGGATGCTATGGATTGACCTGCTTTGCATCAACCAGACAAATATAAAGGAACGCACTGTCCAAGTGGCTTTGATGGGAGATATCTTCACGTCCGCGGACAGCGTCTGCGTCTGGCTCGGGGAAAGTAATCCCGACCTACATAAAGACTGCCAAGTCATACGTTCCATTTCTGATCTCTACGAACGGCCACTAGGCGGCTCTGGTGGAGAAAAGTTGGTCGATCCGTCGAAGGATTGCGCGGCACTCCCAAACTCACACCTCACGCACCAGATTGTAAGCAGCGGCCCCGAAAACTGGACGTGGGACTTCACCAATGACCATATATTTCAACAGCCATGGTTCCAACGCGTGTGGGTTCTTCAGGAAGTATGGAACGCCACACGGGTTCGGGTCTTCTGCGGTTCTGATGAACTCGAGTGGCAGGCGATTCTCCAAGCCAACCACTGCTTTAAGATGCGCGGAATATTGAGCAGGAATATACTCTCATGGCTCTGGACCGCTCTTTTCACTGTCAAACGGGACGAGACGGAACTGAGCTGCAATCGTGCACCACGATTAGACATTTTAACCATTCTCATCGCAGGGCACAGCATGAATGCAACGGATCCAAGGGACAAGATCTTTGCAATGTTGGTGTTTGGCAACGAGACACATCAAATAGAATCCCTGCCGGAGGAAGTTAGGCCAAACTACGAGAAGAACGTCATCCAGGTGTATGCTGATTTCACTAGGTGGTGGATATTGCACCACAACTCGTTGAGGATTCTCTCGGTGGTGCACACGCTTACCGGCCGGCCCTGGGTCAATATGTCAGGTCCCTGCGGTTCGGATGCTAGCTTCAACTTGTCCCAGCGACCGTCATGGATATTGTGGCACGAGGGCTTCAGCGAATGGATGCACGGCACGCTAGCACTCCACGACCATTGCGAATACCACGCCTCAGGGCACCGCCCCATTGACCGCGACGTCCTTGTGTCGATGGCTCTCACGCTACCTACCAAGGTCGCTTTACGAGGCGTCAGAGTGGGCACCATCAACTCTCTAGCACCGTATCCGTTCTTTCAGCAACCTGCTTCCCAAGCTATGCATGAAGCTTTCATGCGGCTCTTTGATCCCAGCGGATCCATCGGTACTTGGAACTCCTTCAACATCAGGAGGTCGGTGGGGGATTCCATCGACATGGCCGACCACAGCGACAAGCCAAGCTTGTGGGCGGCTCATTACAACTCTCATTGGAGCGGGACGCCTCAGAATCCCACTTGGTTACCCTGCTTTCAGAACTGCATGTTCACCACGAGGGATGGAGGGGTTGGTATTTGTCCATCGGGGAGTCGAGTAGGCGATCTGGTTGTCGTTCTGTTTGGCGGAATGGTTCCGTATCTCCTGCGGCCGAAGGTTCCAGCTGGGGTAGAGACAGACCGGGAGAGTACGCGCTCGAAGGAGTACTACTTCGTTGGAGAGTGCTACTTCGAGGGTTTGATGGACGGCGAGGCTTGCTCTTCGATATCTGACTCGGACACAGAGGTATTTTTGCTGGCATAGTTGTCGACTCGTTCGCCAGTGACGCTCTCCCTCCATATATTCTACCTTGAGATGGGCTATGCATTTTCTTTCGCGAAAGCAGAATCGGTGACGAACGGTTCAGCTTATGTTTGAAGCCCGGGTTAACGAAGTTGCGAAACTTTTTCCTATGCAAAATATTCACGTTGCTTTTTCGGTTCTAGATCTGGGCACCTGAGTCTCAGCCGTCTTCAAGTCGCAGATCATGTTACGCCACCAAATTCAAAATGACAAACTATTGATGTGGCTTGATCCCTCTTTTGTTACTCGCTCGTTGTTTGAAGATTGATCCAGTGGCTCCGCTTGGAGGAATAAATCTTGAAGGGACCAACACCCCAGTTGCCCGACTCCCCAGATTTTACAAGATCTGAAATGCACTGTGCTCTACTGTGGCGTCAAGAAACCTTTCCAAAACGGTTTCTTACGTCTATCTATCTCTGCAATGGTACTTGAGCTCTTTAATCCTCTTGCCGCGCATTGCCTCGATGAAGTTTTCTGCACAGCTTTTTATCTCTGCTGAAGCCCGTTTGAACATCCTTTCGTCGCTGTTCAGCCATTGCCCGCTCACACAGTGTGGTAGAGCAAAATGACCAGAACCTCCACATAGTGGACGCAACCAGGCGGCGTCGTTTCGACCTTTGAAGTCAAGAGGTTCGAAGACTTTGTTTCGCGCGTTCGATGCGCTTTCATAGTAATTCCGGGAGTTTCTGACACTGAGGATATGCTCACGCTCGGCGATTTCTGCGGGACTAGAAGGTTCCGGTGAAAGCAGGTGGTTAGGTGACTTTTTCGGCCTCCGACGCGTTACAAATAGGACGTAATCATAAAGATTCGGTTGCTTCCCAACGGAATCTTGGAACATGTTCTGAGTCCATCGTAGTTCTCCGTTCTTTTTCAGACTTGCTCAGGCGACTCGGGTTTGTGGAACCATATTTCTCAAGTTTTTGTTTGGGTTGGCTTAACAGAGTGCAATCTCAAATCCGGGTCTCCAGGCGCGAAGAGCCAAGTTGAGAGGAACATTATTGGTATATATTTGCCATGGGAGTTGTTCAAATTTCTCTTCTTATTGGCGACACCTGCGGCGACTCAGTGCTGGTGCTGCGGGTGGGGTAAGAGTATGATTGAGCAGACTGCTCTTCCTCGTTCCTGGTATGAGCGGAGGAAGACTCAGCTTGCGGCGACTCTCCTTCCATATACCCTGTAACAGAGCTTGATTCATAGTTGTGGACCTCTTCGAGTTCTTCCAAAATCCGGTCCATTGTTGACGACCCAGTCTAGAAGCTCCTTCATCCTCTCCGAATTCTCCTCAAGTTCGTCATTGGAACACCCGCAACGATATGTTCCATTCTCAAGCGGACCCATTCAGGACCGTTGCTGTTCTCATACGCGCTCAGAACTGTGCGAGGCTTGCTGCCTGCTCGTTCTTCTGAGGCAATTTGCACCATCATCCGCGCTACCAGGGTCATAGTCTGTCAAACCTCCTCAGCTGTGCCTCCATTCGTCATTGTACTTCTTCCAATCTTCCAAGAAAACCTATAGTAATGCCGCTGAAGAGTATATTCATGGTTTAGAGTTGAATCCCAAGCTTCGCTTTCAAATCATTTAAGTTCTTCAATCCAAGCTGCACCCGCCGCCAAGCATTCCTCCCCGTCTTCCTGTATTGCTTCACCAAGCCCTGAAGTTTTTGGAGGGGTTTCTCCATGTTGCCCCTTATCTGAAGCCATTCTGGCTGTCCATTTCCGCGCCTGTGCTGGAGCAGCGACGCTGGATCTTGTGCGAGAAGCTGCAGGCTAGAGAGTAGGATAGGGAAGGAAACAGAGATCTGCTTTGAGTTGCGTGAACTCTCCCGGCCCGCCGTTGCAGGTGTTGTAGAGCCTCAGGACTAGTTGGCCAACGGTCAAAAAGTCTCCGACTCCAAAGCTGAACGACATTTCGTCTCTAAGAGGCCGACGATCAAAGGGTGCTGTCCTTTGCCGGTCGATACAGAAGCTCAAATATTATCGATGTGTATTTAGGGTGGATTGCATGAAGTGTTTGAGGCTGTGGACCTGTGGTATTTTTGAAGAGAAAAATGGAGGTGTGCTCCGCCGGGAAGGTAGCCCAGCTGGCCTGTGATACCTGAAAATCACTTGTTTTATTACAACCTTCAATCCGGCCAAACGGGCCAAACAGGCCAGCTAGGAACGTTTCTGGGACACTTCAAAGACACTTTACTAAATATAAGTTCACTTTCCAAAGTACTTATTCTTGATAACCTCTTAAAAACGTTTCCAGAACGCTTCCAAGTCACTTTGGTTAGGGTTAGCCCGGGAGATTGGGGTGGGAGCCCCCCGCATTAGAAATACCTTAAGAAACGTTTTGGTAATAATATAGAAATATAATTCCAGGTTCCGTATATCCTATATAATAGATAGGAAGGAATAGGGAGTGTAGAGAGAATATTTGATGCCTTAAAAGTTGTATTAGGCCAGGTGGGAACGCCAAGCAGGCCAGCTCAACCATCTGTAAATAGTCTGCCCAGTTTGCGCCTTGTTTGCACTGCAATTTTAGCGTCAGCGAAGACTCGAAGAATGAACAAGTGTAGCTGATTCGCACACGAAGCGAGCTGTGCGAATATGAACGAGGCTCTGCGATTACATTGCAATCTTGGTATCAACGAATACAGACAATTTCCATGCAGAGTATCATACGTTAGCACAATGCGTACCAGCAGATTTCCTCGCACTGCGATTTCAGTGTGGAAAAAGAGAACAGCATGGTCCACTCAGACAGAAGAAAAGGGGCATAGTTGAGGAACATCGAAACGGTAGTTGGATTGGAGGCAAGTCGCTTTCGCCGTTCCACATCGAAAATTTGCCGTCCCGGATCCTCAGCAATCCTCGAACCTTCCCGAGTTCTGCAATTTAGCAGAGAAGGAAAGCATGAGTGTGCCCATTTCCATACTAACAATCGCAGCTTTTCCTTTTTGTACTGCAATTCTAGCGTAGAAGGAGAGAACGAGTGTGTGCTGATTCCTGTTCCTACGATACACCAAGCATGATGCCTTGGCAATCTTTGCCCGAAGGAGGCCCAGCCGGACTACATCGGTACCGATTTGGACACGGGATGCGCTCAGGGCTTAGGTGGCTGTTTTCACTGCAATTTTAGCGCCAAAGGAGAGGGTAAGTGTGCTGATTCCTAATTCCGCCACCAAGCTTAATATATTCGCAAGTTGGAAGCGCACTGCAATCCTGGCGTAAAGGAGAGAACGCGAGTACCGATTCAGTAGCATGCGTTTGGCGTGTGGCTCATGAAGAGCTGAGCCCAACTCTGCACTGAAATTCTAGCGCAAAGGAGGGAGAATATCTGTGGGGTAAGGTTAATATGAGGCAGCATGCGCTAAAGGCAGAGCCGCAGAGGCAGTTTGCCAGAAATTTCACTGCAATTTTAGCGTCTAAGGAGAGGACGAGTTCATCGGGCATAGGCTGAAGAACCGAGCTACTGCACCACAGCCTGAGGAGCGCCGGTCTCGTGCACTGCAATTTTAGCGTTAACGAGGGACGGACACCGCACGGATGACACCAAGTAGCCCCATCGAATGTCACCAAACATCTCACTGCAATTTTAGCGTTAACGAGGAGGAACGACGACGGCTCGCACACCGAGAATCATGTGTTGGCACGAGGCTCTGGGAGCCGCGCTGCAACTTCCCTACTGACTGTGTAACGAGCCTACCGACATAAGTCTATGGTTTTAGGGCATTTCGCTAAGAAACGAACCCCATAACTATTTTGGACACTTTTAATTTATATTCAGAATTAAGTTTAAAGGCCTTCTAAACTCATTCTAGCTTTTGTTATTTTATACGCTTGAATTATATAAGGTTTTAATCTATAGTTATCGAGAAATCGTGAAGTGAAGTGCGCGACTTCGGTTTTTGCGATGCCTGAAAACATCGCTAAAACCATAGACTTATGTCGGTAGGCTCGTAACGGTCCCGAGCACTGCAATTTTAGCGTAGAAGGAGAGAACGAGTGTGGACTGATTCCCGTTCAAACACCAGGCATAATGCGTTGGCAATCTTTGCCGGTAGGAGGCACGGAGGTTCAGCTGGTCGTCCCCGCAATGGGGGAAACACTGCAATTTTAGCATCCAAGTGAGGAACGAATATGAGGCTAACGAACCGGTTCCCCTCGTTAACGCTAAAATTGCAGTGCTTGGCTCGGGCGAGAATTTCTTGCTTGAATGCCATGTCGCCTCTCGTTGACGCTAAAATTGAAGTGTAGTAAATGGTTCGGTTCTTTAGCCTTGCGCCCGATAAATTCGTTCTCTCCTTTGACGCTAAAATTGCAGTGCTGAATTCATCTGATCTCACAAACTCAGCTTTAAGCCAGCCACGATCTCAAAGACCACCTTCCGCGCCAAACTTTGCTAATATATATATTGTGAGTTTTTATTAAGGGCTTCCGATACACTATAATTTTAGCGCCCAAGGGGAGAACGAATTTATCGGGTATAGGCTAAAGAGCCGAGCTACTGCATTACAGGAGCGTCGGTATCGTGCACTGCAATTTAGCGTTAATGAGGAGAGACGACATGCATACCTAGTATATTCGAGATGCCAAAACACTGCAGTTTTAGCGTTAATGAGGAGGAACGACGAGGGCTCGCACACCGATAATCATGTGTTGGCACGAGGCTCCGGGAGCCGCACTGCAACCTCTCCCATATGAGGCCTGCCTCCTGTGAAGGCAGGCCTAATAACGTGACGTGGCGGATACGAGGGAGAGATTCGTGAGAAAGGGGGGAGAGGGAGGGCGAGGAGTAAAGGAGACTTGGTATTGCGCCTTCGTATGTTTATTGTTAATACGCCCGTCTAAGGGAGCTTTGGGCTACCTGGGGTGCTTTCTATAGGGTTTTGTTTATATAGTCCAGTACTTTTGAATATAGTATGGTTTCTAAAGGAGAATATTCTTAGTACTATTATCCGATATTCCTGATAATAATTGACGGCTAAGGTCGAGCCAGTATAAGTAAGGAGAAATATAGCAGGTATTAATCTCTTGATTCCACTTACTATTCTATTAGCGGTATAGCTATATATATATAAGATACCTGAAGATATCTTTAAAGCCCTTTACAGAAAACCAGATCCGAAAGCTTTCAAACTAATTTAAACTATAAAGGTTAATATTAAAGCAATACTTCTCGGTAAACTTGTAGAAATCCTGCGGCTATTAGTAGTAATATAGTATTTATAGCCTCGAGCCCGAAGCCTTACCTTACCGGCCTCTCTTATATAAGGATATCTCGGCCTTATTTACTATAATTTTAAAGGTTTCAGGAATAGTAGTAGTATTACTACCAGAGAATACAGATAGAATTATAGGATAAATAATAAGATTATAGAGCTTCTTATATTATTTATTTGAGAGATATATTATCCGCTTTCTGAGGCTATAATACCTGAGCTATACTATAGGAAAAATTATATAAATATTAAAAACCATTTAGTTTGGTAGTATTATAAAGAGAATACTAGGGATATTCTCTAGTAGAACTATCCAGTAGCCCTTTAAAGCCTCGTTATTATCTATACTTAGCCTAATACTATATATCTTTCCAGATATTAGAAGGTTAGTATATAGATAAAATAATATACCGTTTTTGAAACTACTAAAACTTATAGTCTTACTATATATACTATTAATATCTGGTATATTAAATAGAATACGGTTACCTGTCTAATACTCGTTATTAAATATATAAAGCTTAGTATGGGCTCTAATAAGCTCGATAAGCAATAATTAGATAATTGCGCTAATTTGTTAATAATCGATAATTATCGATAATTGGTAATAATTATTATTCTAGGCAATAAGGGGCCCGGCAGAATCTGCCCCTTCTACTCTCTATTCCAATTAATTAATTAATTAATTAATTAATCTTTATACTAGTTCTTTAAAGAATATAACTAATTTGAGATATATTAAAAAAGTAATAATTTAAGTTATTGCTTTATTAATCTAATAGCTAGCTAACTGCTTTGCCTTAGATATAAAGGTTAATTTCCTGACGCCTAATCTAGTTACTTTACTAGTAACCCAAGTAAACTAACTACCCTATAGTACTGCTATAAGGCGTTTGCTAACCTTACTAATACCTATTATTTCTAATCTCATTTATTGGACTAGCTTCATATCCTTTTTCTAAATAGTAATCCGCTTTATATAAATAGCTATAAGGTTTGTTACTGGAATTAGATTAGTATAAAAATTAG